ATCCAGAACTCACCAGAAACTTTTCCCAGGGTTGCTTTTCTCAGTTGCTTCACTTCCCAACTTGTACTTAGAGGGGAAAGATCAGTGTAATAGGTTTTGCAGTACTGTTGAGCATCATACCAGTTCAATCTGTTTTGCACGTACACATGTTTACCAAATTTCTGCCCTGTCAGGTACGGCGAGGCGTTTACAATAAAGAGCATTTTCCAAAGCAGGGTCTTCATGCTGGTTCAGCCGACTGGTGTGATGAGCCTTAGCCTGTGCTTCCTCCTCAGTTATTGCTTGAAATAAATCGAGGAACACCTCCTGCTGACTCCCTCATTCTTCTGTCACTGCATGTCATGCATATGACATCATGTAAATACAATTTGATTACCACACCCTGGATTTCTACTCCGCCCATCATCTTTAATGCACTCCAACCCCCACACCTCCATGTTTCACCTGAATTTTGAGAGCATCAGCAAAGACCAAAAGGAAATACTAAAAACTACTGTTACCTTCACAGTTCATACATGTTAAGTACACATTATCTCTCTGTGATACTGATTATGCTGATGTAATGTGGTCTGTAATGGAGAGTAAACCACCCAGGTAAGTTCACTTAACGTGGGTAGATAAAGGTAAAAAAATGGCTATATTAAAACTAACCAAGAGTTATAACACAAGCTGCTGATAGATTTATCTCACACTAAAAGGACATGTTGGTGACATAACATTAAAGCACGAGGTTAAGGTAGTCAGGCTTCAAAACCAATAGTAAAATTGAAATAGGCACTGGATTCATTTTGCTTGCAAAATTGCGGAGATGAACTTGTGTCACGGAAGTCGGCACAAACTTTCCAGAATAATTTTGTTTAGTAAATTTATTTCCATTTGACATTGAGAAACAAAATATTCTGTTTGAGCTCACATGTCATTTTCTCTTTCTACATGCTTCCCTCGTGTTTTCTGTGGCAAAACTGAAGTCTCAGTGTGCATCACAACCTGCCAACAGCCTCTAAACGAACGGTGGCAAGAAAATATACTGAAGGGGTCTGAAAGGGTCTACTGAATGTGTGTTATGCAGTCATGTTAGAAAAAATAAGCAGTCAGACCATTTTCTAATGTGCAGTGAACACAAAGCAGGCTCAGAAATGACCAGATGTGATACTATAAAGCTTTAATTATATGTTGTTGGTGGCCCCAAATAAACCCAGATGGACTGATCTGTGCATTAAAATGTGTCTGTGGATACAGGTTGTACAATTTTGTAAAACAGCCTATTCTCAAATTTCAGGCTGGTGCAACCATAAACATAAACGAGGATGAAATAGGAGACTAAAAATAACGACAATTATATTTGATCAGAGGACCCCATTCATGTCTTTATAGCTGGCTGAAAAGGGCTGTAGCTCTCTCTTAATTATACATAAAATAGAGGGATTTAGCTACAAAAATTATTTATATAACTCTGGTTCTCAGGTTTGATTTAATCAGTGTCAACTGATTGTTAGTTTGGTAAAAATTTGATTACAACTTGCCTGATGAGGTGTTAAAAGGACATTTTTATTGAGACTTGATGTGGATGGTGTGGTACAGTCTGTGGTGTGATTGGTGTAGCAGGCTGCTGTGTTTACAACGTGTACTGGTCATTGTTGCCTGCTGTGAACAGCAAAGACCTGACTAACGGCACAGAGTCCACCCATCAGGGATGACTCGCCACCACAAACTGTGTGCTCTCTCAGAAGAGTCTCTATGTGGGCGTCACAAAAATGCACATAAATGCACGTACAGAGTCTCTCTCTCTCTCTCTCTCTCTCTCTCTGGGAGAGGCAGGCCATCAGAAAAGTGAAGGAGTGAGACAAAGGATCAAAAAGAGGTGGAGCTAAAAGTTAACCAGCCAGGAGCCAAT